AGCCGTTCCGAAGATACGGGGCAAAAAGTGCCGAAACGGTAACTCAGTTTTTAAGAGAACGGAGCGTCCGATTTGAATAATTCAAAAAAACGTTTCACTTGTATTGACAAGATAAAGAATCGATAAAATTTTCATGAAGGTAGGTCTAGCGGTTTCGGAGATATGGAGGAAAAAGTAAAAAAATGAGCCATTTGGCGGTCAAAAATGATCATTAGACATATGCACATCAAATTATCAGATATTTTATAGAGATTTAACAATAAGTATACATTTTGTTAACATTCCTATGGGTTCCGTACCAATGCTTATGCGTTAGACAGCGACGCGGCGCTTACGCGCTTTATATTTTGTCCCTATGTAGTTAAACCAGTACGATTGCTTTGAAAAAAAAGTTAAGATCTTCCACAATATGTCAAAATAAAAAAAAAAATTTTTTAATTTAATTGTCAAATTTATAGTTTCTCAAAAATCTTATTTTTTCAAAGTAATTTTTTTTCAAAAATGTTAATCGTTTTTAAAAAAAATAATAATTTTTGGTACGGGAAGTTCCAGCAATTTGCCATAAGGCACGATGCCCTAATTGCCTTAAGACAGAATTCCACTTACAGCTAGTTTTACATTGTATTACCTTTTTATCTATCCTGAAATTGAACATATATGTTACATTTAAGTTCATTTGACTGAAAGCATAAAAAATAATTTAAGCATTCGAAAACAAGAAATAGTGATTTTTGAAAAAAGCGTGTTTCTTAATATCGTACAAATAATAAAACTTTCAAAATGTCAGATTTAAAAACTGTCAATGAAAATTGAAATGTTAAAAAGTATAAAAATTAAAATAAACAAAACTTGATACCTGTCTCAAAGTTTAATTTAATCACATTCCTTTATGCATGACAAAGCACTTGAAAAATTATTTATTTAAGATCGGCACAATTGTGCCACATTTTCACACCTTCCTGCCTAAGGATTTCATCTTTGCTCTACGTAGTTACCGGACAAAAATACCCACGCAACGATCTGCTGTCCAGAAATTAAAAATAAATATTATCTTATAATTGACAATAGATTATTATAAATATATAACACCTCCGCCACACGTTGGTTTTCGAGAGGGTGCTAAGTAAATATCAAATCGTCAATAATCTTTCACTCTTTTGATGCTGTCAGAGGCTAAAATGTATTTTCGGGGCCAGCTTTAATTTGCACATAATGGATTGTTTTTATAGGACGACTCGACGATAAGAAATATTATAGGATAGGACGAACTCTGAGGTAGGAAGTAAAGGATAAGCTTCCCCGAGCATAAGTTGATCTGTGTGGTCGTAGTAAACAAACATGGGCGATGGGCAATGGGCATGTGACCATGCGCTTTCTTGAATGAAACACATGTGCCCATGTGCCGCGGAGAGAGCGGCCTATGTAATGCGGGCACCCAAACTTATTATTAGTTATTCATTTTTTTTAAATTTTAACAGCTATCAGCTAATATTCCTAATTTGTTAATGACTTCGGGCGTGCAACACAGCGGTTAACCACCCTTCTTTGCTATTACTACATTACATTATTTAGATATGTGTATCCAGGGCCGGTCCTGGGGTCTTCAGCGCCCGCATGCAAGTTTTGTTCTAGCGCCCCCCCCCCCAATAATTTCAACTGTTTTATCAGTTTTTCATTAAAATCATTCTGGATTTAGTACACAAAAATTTAGATGTAATCTAAAAGCATATAAAATACATTGATTTTAAATTTATTTAGAAAATCGAGGCGATTCGCGGGTTGATCATAATCAAAATTTTTAAATTCTCAATTATTTCTAACGTAGGTGTAATATCAATATTTTGGTTTTGAAACATTTAACTTATTTATTATGCGATTTATTCTATAGAGCAAATCACGCCAAAAGAGCAAAAAAAGAATAGTCTTTAATTTTTAAACATAACATTCGTATTTTATGTTTTAAATCAAATTTTATTTTAATTTATTTTTTCATTATTCACAATATCCATAATTGCATCGTAAACTTCTCCGTATTGGTATCGTAAGAGCCGAATTGTATTCAGCTTTACTTTCCCATCAGATTCAACGTGTTGTTTTAAAAACGTATTTTTTAAGTATTGTCCAAAATTAGTAAAAGATGCGAAGAAATTACATATTTCCTTAACTGTACTGAAACAAACAAATTATATTTGCATCTGTATTATTTCTGCATAGTTAATACTTAAATTATGTATATAAAACCTTAAAGATTTTTGTTCCTAAGTACATTTTGCTTTCATTTTTCATATTTGCTCCATTTCCATAACCCTAACCACGCATGTCTTCAACATTCAAAATTCATCAGAAGCGAAACATTTGGAACAAAAACAAAAGTTACGAATCAATTTCTCGGAATAAACATGCCATTTTTTAAGCACTGACTCCCCATTTTTCATTTTCCCGATTATAATTTGTTTATATTTTTTAACAAGTTCCGTTTTAACTAAATCAGCTCGCAATTTTTCGTCAATAATGCCCAATAATTAATTTAATATTTCGCAGGTTTGAGCCTATGGGATTGAACACTAGATAATTTTTTTTTCGATTCCACGGTAAATTCAAAAAAAAGAAAAAATTGAATAAGTAGATTAAGCAATGAACAGAGCTGTTATTTACTAATTTGCAGAGTTATTAATCGGTTAATTGTTTCTATTGATATCACATTGCAAAATAAATGTGAATAAATGCTTTTTGTGTCTTTGTATCCCTAATTAAGTTAGATTGTTTATTATAATTTATTATGTATACTTGATTTTATATAAATAATTCTAGATTTTATATAAAAAATATAAATATTATAATATAAATTTAATTTCCGAAACTCGTTTTGGCGCCCCCTAAGGCGTGCGCCCGCATTTTTTGCATGCATCGCATGCAAGGCAGGACCGGCCCTGTGTGTATCTATAATGTATGTGATGCAGCAATGCCGGCGAAAGGCGATTTTCAATTGGCAATCATATATGAAATCTATTATCATAAGTAAAAACTGCTTGATATCGAGCTTGGCCGAGGTTGAGACCGAACTCGGCACTAGTTAGTGCTAGTTCACGTCCTTGCAAATTACGCCATATTTCATTGTTTATCTCTATAAAACTTTGGCATTTTGCCTTAAGGCAAGTTGCATGAACTTCTTGATACGAATAAATAATCGATACCAATAGCTTTATCTAGATAAAACTTTCCACTGTTTATTTCAAATATAAAATTTTAATTTTTACTAATAATAATCAATCCATATTGAATATCTTACGTTTCAAGCTAAGTAAAAACTTAGCTTTCATATTGACACCTGTAAGTAATAATTAAATTTGTGAAGACGGCGTGCAAAAAATGCTTTTACAAAAAGTTCGTAATTTTGAAAAAGTTCAAAAAAAAAATTAAAGTTTTTAGTTTAAAATAGGATAATAATGTGTAATACATAATAATGTAATACTTCCTTCTACTACTATTATCATATAGTCCTCAATCATCAAACTAGAAGACAATTTTAAAAAAAAAACACACTAATAGCTAACAAAAACACCGTTTTTTTTAAAAAGATTCTTTAACAATAATGTGATTGTTGAGAAGCTTATTTATGAATAAACCTAATCTACCGAGTTCGATTTTTTGGTTTTTGACCATATAAAAGTTTATTAGAATATTATATTTGCAATGTACACAATTTGGTATGTTTTTTAAAAAAATATTTTTTTGACCATTAATCATACAGTAAAACTTTATTAAATATTTTTATGGCTAATAATCATACGTATCTGTTTAAAAAATATATTTTCTGTTAACAAAGCACAGATAAAATTTTCAACAATATACATATAAAAGATTTTGAATTACAATTAAAATTATCTTTTCGGCATTCAATTAGTGCATTCACTCTTCAGGTTAATTTTTAATACATAGTGAGTTAGTATAAAATATTACAACTTTGAAGTACCTGCAAAAAGAATTCTGTGTTATAGAGATTATGTTAAATTTAAAGACAAAAAAATAATTTTTCTACATTATTTATTAATTAACAAAAATTGTATTGTCCATTCAATTACACATTTACATAAAAAGTATACTATCTACCTATATAGATTGCATACTATTGCAACTTCTGCCACAGTATACCATATTATCACAAGTTATGAACAAAAACTTATTCTAATGAATCACATACACTTTATGATAAGTTTGTTAAAGGTACGCGACTATATATTCAAAATTAATTTTGATTTTGGTCAATATTTATTTTGCACATTCAGGTTTAGTAGATTACATATATTTGTAATATGGGAATATGCATATTTTTAATTTCTATGTAAATGCCACAGACACGTGTCTTGGTGATAATGAAAATTATTTATACTTAGTTCATATTAATATTTTATTATTAAAATTTACATCTTTGTAGTTTGCATACCATTCGGTTTTCAAATTAGAAATTGAAAATTATCCATAATAATATTTGCAAATTAAGTTTATTTAAATTAGAAATTGAAAATCATCCATAATAATATTTGCTTCAAATATATTATTAATAAATTGTCTTGTATAAATCATAGCATTTAATCATATATAAAAAGTATGCATACTTCCAGGTTAAATACAGATATTCACAGTTTAATGCATGCCTAAAAATCTATGCTTAACATCAAATATGCAAAGAAAAATATAATAATTATATTCAATTAGTGGCAAAAAATAATTCAAAATAATTCTGTATGATGAATATAAATTAAGCATTTTATGCACATTGTAAATTTAAAAAAAGTAAAATACTAAATAAGATTTCTAAATAGAGATTGGCAGGACTATGTTATTTTATAAGCTATTAAATAGATAATTACCTATAAAACCTTCAAAATATAGCGGCAAATTTATCAAAAATAACATTTTATAAAAATCATTAACCTAACATATTTCTAAACAAGTATCACGATTTAAAAATTATATCCTATAGGTGTTCCCAATAAACTATTATTAACAAACAAATCAATAACAAATAAAATGTCAATTTACACCTTAAATTGTTTGTACCATCAGTATTAATTTTTAACAATGTTTTTGAGTCTACCTGCAATTACTCTGCCGAAGTGGGTTCCGTCCCAATAGCACTTTCCACAACCTTCGCAAACATAAAATACTGAAACATTATTGAGAACTGTTAATGGTATCAGGTTGGCTTGGATTAAAGCACCACTTTTCGTAAATCGATTTAAAGCATTGCCTCGAACTGAAAAATATGTTAAAGCTGACATGAATAACAACATAAACTAGAACATTATTAGGAACTCTATAATACATACCTAATTGCCAGGATCTGCTATTTACGGGTAGTTGTTCTAAAGTTCCACAAAAAGAATTACCAAGTGCATTGTTAATATTCGCTAAACTAAGCATCTCACTGCGGGAAAAACTTGAGAATTCATTGTTGTTGCATATCTAAATAAAAGTGCACTTATCATTTTATTTTATTCTTTGAGTAAAATTGTTAACCTTAACCAATATTACCTGACATCTGCTGAAAATATTGTTTTCAGTAACTTCAATGTTGTAATAATGTAATACTTCTTTTAATTGTTCATCAACCGGATCAGATTTCACTCTATAGCAGTACCCGAGAGGGACAAATTGATGCAACTGGAATATTTAAAATTTTAAATTATTGAAATTATTTTTAACTAAAAGTTTGATCGTATTGTATAAATCCAAAATAATATGTATGTTGCCTACCCTATTGAATGCTGTGCCTCTTGTTAATATAATTCGTTGCTGTTGTTGAGCAATATTGATACATATGTCATGGTCTTTACTATTATCAATTGATATAGCATCAACACCACACTTCCGTAAACATCTCGCCAAGCCCTCCAACATACTATCACAGACAACCTTTATAGCATCTACTCCACGTGTTGGCAAATTAGCAAAAGGACTAGGAACTTGTTCTATTATGGTTGTTGGCTGCTAAAAAATGCAAAACTTCAGTTTAATAAAGCCATTTTTGTGTTTATGTAAATACTGCTTTTTTTTTAGTAAGTCTTAAAAATTTCACCACATTTCAGGAGAGTTGCAGAAATATCAATATAAATGATTAGTTTAATAATATTTAAAAGATTACCAAAATTCAAATCTATTATATGATCAAAGAGTTAAAAACATATGAGATAAAAATCTAACCTTTTTATCATTTTTCTTCTTATTACGTTTCTTGGGAGATCGAACATTTTGTGTTATTCTATCATACATTTCAATTAAATTTATATTGCAATTATTGCAAACATCTACAATGACATCATGAACTTCCAACAAACAATGTGCATCCAAAGCTATGTAAAAATTAAACTATTAAATGTAATGTTATATTAATTAGAATGGTGTAATTTTATACCAAACCTGCATATAAAATTTGTTCCTTCCTGAGTGGTCGAAGTTCCCAATTTGAAAATTGATTTGTTTTATCAAGATTTGCACCTAAACATAATTGAACCAGTGCTGAAAGTCCATCACCACAACCTGGCTCACCTAAATATGTTTATATATGTAATTTAATTTCCTGAATTTAAAAATAAAATATTGTAGAAGATAGATTCCTACCTGAATATGGATATTTAAAATAGGAATTTCTCCCAAGAGCTTTTGTGAGGTCCTGCAAATCTAACCAACCAACACCACCACAAAATATAGAATTTCGCAATTTTAGAGTTGATTGAATTTTTTCTAAATCCAGTCGTAGACCATATCCTGAAAGTCACACAGATCAATAAGTTTGTGCATCATTTCTATACTCATCCGAGATATTAAAAGTCCTTGACACATACTTATATATAGATTAAATATGTAGTAATATTCTATATTTAAATATGCAGGACAGGTATATAAATACAAAATAATATTTACCTAGTTTTAAAATCTCATGATTCTCGAATAATTGTATTGATAATTGCTTCCACAAATGATGTGCATGACCCAACTCAACAACATCTAATAAATAAATATTCTTTCCTGTAGAGAGTTGAATCAAAGCAACATCTGATGGCTTAGTTCCAAAATATGGCTTCCACTCTGAATCTAAACCAACTCGAGTCACATTCTAAAAATATTATTTATCACTTATGGCATATTAATGTCAATTAATATTTCTACTACTGAATAATTTGATCCACACACAAATTATGGACTTTATGTACAAACCTCAAACCCATGCCGTAGCATGTCCTCAAAAAGGTATTCTGTATCCACAAGAACAATATTATCCATAGGTATATTTAGACAATGGAATTTTATGTTATTTACTTCATTTGAATTTGTAAAATGATTTTGTTTGTATGCATTGGAATTTGTTAGAAGTATGAGGAATTGTATTACAAATATTTAAATTTTTTTATCAATTGGGTCAGGATCCCAGTTATCATCCTCAGGTTCACAAAATGTTGGTGAGCTGAATTCTCTAATAAAAAATAAATAAATTATGATTTGAAAAATTTGTTCAATTATGAAATATAGTTTTAAATTTACTTCAAAGCGTAAGGCCAATATTCGAAAGGGACTGCATAATGCTGAGCCCATTTGAGAGCTCCGGCCACATCCCCATGCCTAACCATTAAATTAATCAATTCTCTTTGCATTTCTTCATTTTGCCCAACAGCTTCTTGCATCATTTCATTCCATGAAGCTTCATCTAAAAATTATTATAAACCTATAATAATGTTCTATAATTATAACATGTGCTCTAAAAAATTACTTAGAGATTCTTCGACATATCTTTTATGAGCTATAAAATTCAATGCTCCTTCATTTCTTTTAAGTTCAAATTCTGACAAACATCTGGTCCTATAGAATATTTTGAACATAATCTTGCAATAAGTTTACTCAAAGGCTTTGGGTGAAGCTTGTCATATTTAACTTCAGGAATGGAATGCTCTCTGCAACGAAACGTTTAAAATCCAATTTTATTTATAGAAGTAGAAGTATTCTATTTTATAAATTTCATAAGCACTTAAGTAAACAAACTTAACATTTACCTAATAAAAGGCTCTATGCAAGTTCGTACTGTAGAATTTTTATTTAATAAACCATCCAAAAATTTAACAAGTATTCCTTTGCATGTGTGGATTTTGATCAAGATATTGTTCAGCCAAGTCTTGTCTGTCTTGAAGAATAAGCGGAAGGACAAAATCCGCATATGTAATATTTGCATTCAAGTTCAAACATATAGCCCACTGACATACCTACATTAAAAAAATATTGATTGGATCCATATATCAAAATATCCAAATTTAACTGGAACATACCTCTTATATTCTTTTCTTGAGAGCATTTCATTTATATTTTGAAGAAAATGTCACTTTGTTCATACAATCGAAAAGTTTCATTAAACAATTTTACAACATTTGTTACTTTGCTAGACTTTACAAGTGTGAATGCTATCCATTGAACTTCTTTTGTTAATGATGGTTTAACTCATATAATATGACTTGCTCCAATTATTCAATTCCTCAATGACTATGATCATATAAAGTTAGTTTCCAAGCATACATTAAACAAAAAAAATCAATAATACTGAATTGAATTATGTTGGGATATATGGAGAAGTAGTGTTTTTTTTAAGAAATTTTAATTTCAACATTATAATTTTGGATGATTGTAAACATTTCAATTATATTTTTATTTTTTTTCAATTATATTTTGTTATCCAACATTTTTTTTTTCATTAATTATTACACTCATTCTAATACAACACTTGCATTAATAAATATACCTTTTGTCCCTTTTATTAATTAATTTATGATCTAACTACCATTAGTTACTATTCTTAGAGCATAGTAAATTCTCAATTAATGCTTATTGTAAACTAAATGTAAAATATTAATATCTACAAAAATTGGCAATATAATATACTCACTGACATATGGCAATTTGTTTGGTTTTGCTTCATTATAATCACCACAATTTACAAATAATTTTAATCCTGAATAATATGGATTTGGAGCAGAAGAGAAAAATGAATGTAGCGTCCTTTCCACATGCTGTGACTTTTTCCCTAAAATTATATTAAATTGATTAAAATGCGTAATATAATGATTTAAATAGGAACAGTATGAATATTTGTTAACTTATTTTGAAAATCATTTATTGGAATTATTAATGTTGACTTCTTGCAATTCTAATTAGATTACATTTTTGCCATAAAATATAGCAGTTTTTATCTCTGAATGAGTCAGATATAAAAAAATAAATAAGCTACATAAATTTGAATATGTTTTCATACATGATCTCCATAGTGCTTTTAACTTATCAAACCATTGGCTTGTAGCTTCATCTAAATCTTTATCGAAAGGCTTTCCATCAAAGGTACAAGATTCAAAAACAGATGGAACAACTCTAATGTGTAAATTGGGCACTCCAGTTCTTCAATATTTTGTTTAGGATTTGTAAAGTAGATCACCAGTGTCATCTTCAGAATCTGATAAACCTGCTGGGACATATTTTTGAGAAATTTTGTGGGTTCATCTTCTTGAATTTTGTATTGCTATTTATACTATTCGGTGTTTTGTTTTGTAGCTACGATGAAAGTGGCCGCCTTTACGTTCAA